ATATAAGGAGTCGACCGATATGTGTTTTTCAGGGCCGATTATTACAGATCAAGTAGATGGATAACCGATATTTTGAACCGATATATATGTCTGGTGTAAAAATGAAAATTTATGTCAAAATTAAGAATAACAAGGGCTCTGACAAAAACTTTCTTTAAATGCTTTTAAATTATTTTTTAGGGAAATCAGTTTTGAAAATGACCGATAACCATAAAAAAAGCTTAATATCGGTGCCGATAATCGGTCGACCCCTAAAATATATATATACATTTTTGGTTTGCTTGTTTACTGGAAGATTATTGGAGTGTTTTAAAGGAAATGCAATTTCAGCTTTTCGACTTCAAAACTGCACATTTAATAAAATGCATTACTTGCAATTTCTCTCTAATTATTTTCAAAATTCACAAGCAATTTCTGAGTGAAATTTGTTTTTTTTAAAAAGTGCAGATCATATTAAGCACCACTGCATCGCTTTAACGCTCCACACAGGGGTCAGATTCACCCGTAAGCATTAGAGGGGCGCGTTTTAGCTGAAGAAGAAGACAAGATAATTGCTCTGCTTCTTTTCCAGCGTCTCAGAGCAGCTTACGGCCTCATTCGTGACGTCTAAGACCCAAATGACTCTTTCTGGGTGGCTTTCAGCCGGGTTTGGAAAACAAGCAAACAAGTAAGGGAATAGTTCAGTTTTTCATTGGATCTAGGAATATTTTAAAGGTCAAAGAGTTCAGGTCGAGTCAAAGACAACATCATCATCGAACACATGGATGGGAGGTAAATCTCCAATAAATGAATTGCAGATACACTAGAATAAGTCATGTGAAGTTCTGCATGCATTACTGATGAGATCAGCTCAAAGCGTCTGGATGAAGAAGCTCCAGGACAGACGAGAGGATCGGCTGAATTTGCATGTGAACAGACTCTGTAATCAGATGTAAGCGGAGCTGATAAGATCCTCACAATGTGATTCAGTCCATTCAGAGATAAACGGCTGATTGGAGAGAAAACACTTACAGACGGACGGAAGCAGATAAAGACATCTGGAGCTACAGATGCTGCTTGAGTATTCAGACTAAATAGATCACAGTACATTTGCACGTTTACACTGCAAGTGATTTTTTGAAGATTAATGGAGCAAGAAAATACTCAGTCTTTCTTCTTTAAAATGTCACATTTAATTCAATGCAATTTGTAATTATTAGTGAAATTTAGTAGCAATTTCTGAGTCAAAATTGCTTCCTCACCAGCGTATTTTATATTAATGAATTAATGCATATTTTTTAAATTTGTTTTATTTTTATTCATTACTTAGCACCTTATTTTTAATACTATTTTTAGTGTTATTTGTTATGGTTATATTGTACATTTATTTTCTTGTCATTACTTGTTTTGTGCATACTGCTTAATCAGTGTTGTATGTAAACAATCATCCCAATAAAGTACTTTAAATTGAATTGTAATAAATTGAAAAATGTCTCTGAATGGGAATCTATCATGACCGATTGTATGCATATATTAATAATAAAATATTTATATAATCATACATTTATATATTTTATAATATATTAGATATATTTATATATTAATAATATCATACATTTAAAAATTATTTTATTACAATAATTAAAAAATAACAATTATTACATAAATACACATACATTTTTAGTCTCTGTAGTGTGAAATTATTCTCTTCCATTTGATTTGCTCTGGAACGGAAAGTCCATCAAAGTTTAAAGAACACAAATAGCCACACGTGATTCATGAGAAAAACTCACACTGAGAGGCTTTTATGACCAGTTAACTAACCCACTAGGACTAAATATCCAGGATTATCCGTTAATGGAGCGGTACAGAGCTCTCGTGTGACCCGTGCTCATTCACATACATTCAGCTGGAATAAACACACACACACACAAGGCTCAGATGAAAGTTCAGCCGATAACATTTCAACTTCCTGTTCTCTTCACAGGACTGAGGTGTAAGCAGACACTCGCTGCTTTTATGGGTCACAGCTAAAACTACATTAGCGGCTTCCTGACCTCACGTGTTAAATGTGTTCGACAAACCTGCGGGTGAGAAACCTCATTAATGTGGCAAATGCTATACTATCAATGCAAATACTATCAGCATCCCGGCCGAACCCCCTGGTCATGGGATATTTGCTTTATGTTAATTTAATTTGATCATGTGAAGCGTCTGCAAGCAAAAATCGCTGAATTCATTTTATTTTTTGTGTACTAAAGTAACTATTTAACACTTACAAGGGATAATTCACACAAAGTTGTTCCAAAGTTTCTTCAGTTGAACATAAAAGATAATGTTTTAACCAAACAGATGCTGGCATCCATTGACTTCCATAGTATGGGGGAATAGTCGATGGCTACCGTCAACTGTTTGGTTACAAACATTCTTCAAAACATCTTCTTTTGTGCTCAGGAGAAGAAAGAAATTCATTCAGGTTTGGAATTTGAGGGTGAGTAAATGATGACAGAATTTTTTTTTTTGGGTGAACTGTCTCTTTAAGGGAAGCTAAGCCCAGATAAAAGTTTAATTACTGACTCACTTTATGGTAGTAAAGGAGTATTTGTAGCATTTTAACTCCTTGGAAACTAAATACTTTGTGTAAGGAGTTAAAATATTATAAATAGACTCCTACAGTACATCTAAACATACTAAATTCAAATTACATTGAATAAAATGAGCAGGATAGCGAGATATATGCTGGTATTCTAATCTAAAACATTGTTTAAAAATATTTTTTTATAATTTACACAGTTTTATCTCTTAGTGTGAACAGCAGAAACACTGTATTTTCAGATTTGATCTCACCTCTCTGCTGAGCCTCCACACAAACCAGTGAGGAGAAAATCACTGCAAACGGCCACAGCATCTTCATCCTCATCTTCTTCATCAGTCACCCTACAGTAACTCAACTAATGAACTAGTTAATCAAGCTGAAATCCTCAGAGTTTAGTGTAGACGTCCATCGGTTCTGCTCTCATCCGAACTTCAGTCTCTTTCATTCAGTCCCGCTATATGAACCCCGCTGGAATGTACCATTAGTTCAGAGTGGGGGGGGGGGTTCATTTGGGGGACCGAATTTCATGGTACTAATTAACAGTGTTGGGGAAAGTTACTTTTAAAAGTAATGCGTTACAATATTGCGTTACTCCATAAAAAGTAACTAATTACGTTACTTCGTTACTTTGTATGGAAAGTAATGCGTTACGTTACTTTTGCGTTACTTTCGCATTACTTTTTAAATATGAGCAGGGCTTGATTGTTTTTAATATAAGAAGTTCTATTTATAGCAAATATAAAAGCCCTTTCACACCAAAAAGTGTAATGAATAAACCTCAGGCTGAAGCAAAAGTAAATTCACGTCTGTACAGTAGAACACAGGAGAAGAAACACTCTTCAGCAATAAAAAAACAATGAAGCACAATTGTTAGTTTCTCTAAAGTAATTTTTGCTTATTAGTATGTTTGAACTGGATCATCAAAGGTCAGCAGCAAAGACAATGGGATTAGATACATTTGTGTTATTTAACATATTTAATTATTGCAGGTTTGCGTCATATTCTGAGTTTGCATTTCACTGTTTTAATTCATTTTGATTAGTACTAAATCTGTTTTTTTGCGAGTGGGATGAATTCATGCACATTCACATTTAGTCTAGAACTACAGTAACATCATGTAAATGGAAAAACAAAGTAACTGGCATTACTTTTTTTAAAAAGTAACTCAGATATTTTCTTGTAAATTAAAAAAGTAATGCGTTACTTTACTAGTTACTTGAAAAACTAGTTACTTGGAAAAAGTAATCTGATTACGTAACTCGTGTTACTTGTAATGCGTTACCCCCAACACTGCTAATTAATATTTATGCAATAATTATGATACATTTTCTTCCCACTGAAAATTATACAAAAAAACAATTCTTAGATTTTTATTAGGGCTGTCAGTCGATTAAAGACATTTAAAAGTAAATCGAATCTGAGTACATTTTGCAATTAATTTCAAACCAAAGGAGCATGAAAAGAAAAAGCTATTTTACCAAATTCTGAGTATACCCTTGGGACTTTTAGCTGAGTTTTTGTTTGGGTTGCTTATAATGTGCATAACCATCTTCCCAAACTTGCCATGAGAAGTGCTTATAATCCAGCTGTTGTCAATTAATCAATCAATCAATCAATCAATCAATCAATCAGTCAGTCAATAAATACAAAAAGAAAAGGTTTAAGGGCTCCCTGTAATTTTAAAATAAAATAATAATTATTTTATATAATAAATAGAATATTATAATACATATACATATATTAATTAGGGCTGTCAGTCGATTAAATTTTTTTATCTAATTAATTACATGATGTGTCGATTAATTAATCTGATTAATCTCAAATTAAATTTGGCTGTGAAAATACCCACACAAAATATTGTGTTAAATGAGAAAGTATCGAGTAGACATTACGAAGAGTAGCTTTAGAAATAAATATTTTATTTGATTCAACATAAAATTTATTACACATAAATGTTTAGCCTACAGCGACCTAAACTATGGAACATGAAATAAGATACTTTGTATTTACATACAAAATACATCTCTGTATTTTTTGTTCATGTAATGAAAGTCATTGGTGACATAGTGTGTGTGTGTGTGTGT